TTGTTCTGGGGGGGATCATACCTGTTGGTAGCGGCTTCAAAAATAAACCTAAGCACATTCCTAACGACATTCCTAACGACATTGCCTTGGAACTCGAAAAAAAGAATCTATTAGAGGGGGAAATGAAAGATATTTTGTTCTACCACAGAAAATTATTTGATTCTTGCTTGGAGCATAAAGCACGATAAAACCGGTCACTGACAATCTGATTTTTTGATGAGATCTTATCGAGAAGCATCAATGCTTGAACTCCAACATTGAAGTTCTTTGAGTGAACCTGCATACCAGCAAGTGTGGATAAGGCCAAATAAATAATCAAATACGTGAGCATATTCCAACTGAGTTCATTCTTGGCCTAAAAAAAAGAACATAATAGCCACCTAGGAATAGAGATGGCAACAGAGTCGGGGATACCAGGGATCACAATCCCCATCTCCGTTCCCCACTTCCCATCCCTATCCCTATCCCCACCCCCCATCCCCACCGGGGATTTTAATTGTTGCATTTGTATAAGGCTATAAGAGTAGTTCAAAAATAAATATATCAATTGCAATACTTAATTATTGAAATTGTATGCATCCACATTATTATATCGCCAAAAGTTTCTCCGAACTATCAAACCAATACTATAATATCTTTTGAAAGTTCTCTCATCATCGAAGATTGATTATATTTCTTATATTTATGTGTTATATAGGGCTTGTCATTTTTATTATACTATACATATACATATATACTATATATATATATATATATATAATTATTAAATAAATACTCGGGTTTGAGGGGTATCCCCATCCCAGGTTAACAAATTCAGGGATTCCCGATAAACTGGGTTTGGATATCGGTTCCCCGACCATCCCTACCTAGGGAAGGAAAAATATCAAAAAATATCACACGCTCAGATAAGATGACTTCTATATTCGTAAGCTTACCAACTGAAAGAGCATTGGAGTCTGAGTCACAACAATGTCATCAGCTTCATTGCTTGCGACAAAAGGAAAAGCCCTATTGACTCCCTGTTAGGTTAAGAAGATAAGAAGCCATCAAAGCATGTGGGAAGAGAGCATATAAACCACGACATATAATATTTGAGAATTGTGTTTTTTTTTTTTTAGTTTTACTTATCTGCATCTAAATTTAGATGCAGATAAGTAAAAACTAAAAAACACAGATACTGGAGTTACACAAGCAGATACACTAACTGTTAAAAGAGCAGATAACAATCGTGAATCCATTTCAACATGAGAATCTGCAGCACTTTTAACATCCTTGTTTTTGGATGAGCTATAAGCTTTTTTCAATTCTTCTTTGCTCTTTTTCTCCTTATCAAGGTGAAGGCCACCAGACTCGGAGATAAGTACCTGAAACAATATACTTTGAGAACGTGGCATTATGACAGATAGTTAAAAAGCCATAATCAATATTTTCTTCATAACCAAGTTACATTGGAGACTTGGAGTGAATGAATCAAAAATAAGTTTCTTTCTCCCTCCACGACGACTCCCACTTCCCTTGCAAGTAATTTGCCAAAAATATGTAAGATTTTTTATTTATAACCTAATAAGTCATGATTGTTCCTCTATCATTACTAATAGCATTAGCATCCTTACAAAATTCTCACTTTCCATTTGGTATTTAGAACGGAAAGAGCCTATTGTCAATGAGCTCCAGCTAGGGAGGGAGTAGCACTGTAGATAGTGCAAGGCCCCAGTGATTAAAAAAATTATTAGTGAAGCTTTAAGGATGAATGTTGCATGCAATACCTTGAAGAGAGCAAAATATACATCTACCAATCGTTTTGCCACTTTTGGCCCATCTCCAACGTGACTTAGACGTATCTGGTTTAAGAAATTAACCTGTGTATAAACAGATTCAGTCGGATGCTGATTTGATGATTAAAAGAATGCAAAAATCTTCACCAGAAACTAGCTGCAACAATATCTGAGAATTACTGCATACCGGACCAGCATTTAACAAGTTAAAATGATAAGATAGCATATCAAGCTTTGACAAGCACTAGAACTAACTACAAAAGCTACACCATTACATGCACACTCTACTGCAAGCCATATGATATATGTAAGAATAAGAAAGGTGTTTCGATACTCCCCGAAAAGACACCATTTTAATCATTATAACAATACCTGAACTTGAATCACAAGCTTAAAATTCCTATTTATCTTGGCCAAATAAATATAAACATGAAGATTACAACTTCGAAAATGATGCCTACAACTAAAATGAAAAATAACACAACCAAAACAAAGTCTTCTAGACCACATGAAGGATGTAGCATATATTCAAGGTTACTAAGTACAAAGAGCAGGGGAAATCACCGTATCTATGAACAGTTCACAAAAAAAAGTAAGCTACTAACAAGCTTTCAAATTTGAGAATGGATGTTGCAGGCCAAGCACTCGTAGCAAGCAAATATTAAAAACATTTTCCATGTGCTAGGAACATACACCATGGTATTTGGCGCGCAACACCAAATGAGGCCGGAAAAGAAAATTGTCCACTTCGTCGACCACAACTACCTGTAAAATCACATGTGTGAGAAGATGTTGGTAAGATCAAGAAAAGTGCATTTTAATAATAAGAAAACTAGTATATTACTGTGCTAGAGTCTGAATTGATTCAATAAAGAACTCCCTACACACCCTCCAGATCTTTGGCATCCTATATAGTGCATAAATATTTAGATATTATGGCAGAAAAGAGCATTAAGCTAAACAGAGAACCTTCAAAACTAATAATTACAAACATAGAGATCAAACCCAGCTTGAAGAATGTAGAATGTAAAATTTTGTCAAAGAGTCATGCTGTAGCTATTGTAGCATCTTCTGAGTCAAATTGGGTGAATAGTCATCCTAGCATGACAAATCTTCGTCAATATTCATGCATAAAATGTGTTTTCATTACCGAAATCGAATTTTGATAGAACTTTACACCAAATAACTGAGGAGGTATCATTGGTTACATAAATCCAAGCCAGATTAGGGTGTATGCAGCCTTTCAGTACCATATGAGTGTCGGCATGCATACCAGGATAAAGTAGGGTAAATACTACAGCTTACAGGTTGGCATCATTATGACAACAACCAGAAATAACAACACATATATAAATAACACCTACAGCAATGTTCCCTTTCTTACATATAAAAAAATAGGAACATACAAGAACTATAGGCACTAAAGGATAGTATACCTTCATATTTGGATGGTCTGACAAAAGCTTTGACAAGAGATCATCAGCATTAGAGGCGGCCTTATTTTCAGGATCCCCTAGCTGAAGGAAGCAAACTTAGTGAAATTCGCTTCTATAACCACTAAGAATTGCAATGACTACAACATGACAACCAATATATATTCTTAGCTGATGGTTATTTCAGAATAAACATGAGATGGCAAGGTATAAACCTTATTTACAAGAGCAGAGAGCAGTCGGCGCTCTTGTTCTGACTTGCTCTTCAGCAACGCATAAATGGTCTGCAAGCGTTATGGAAAAACAAATTTTTTATTTTACTAACATCTGGGTGCATAGAGAATTTATGGTGAAATAGTAGATGTGAAAGAAATCAATTGGTTGACGAGTGCCACAACTCGCAAGAAAAAACATGTAATGTACAAGCCAACTAAACATTAGAAACAAAAGATGAAAAAGATGCCGTGCTTCAAATGGTGAATATAAACAAGTGCTTATGAGCTTATCTAGTAACTTAATGATATGGTAGTAAATTTAAGTATCAAAACTAACTGCATCAAGGTACTGGAGGGAATGCAAAATTCTTGAGATTGCAACATGTTAAGCTGCAGTACTCCAACTATAAAGGTAATTTTAAAAGCATGATAAGCAACATTTGCCATCTACAAGAGAATGACAAAAGGCTACGCAATTTCACAGAACCCATCTTAGTATGACAACAGGACGTTCAAATTAGTATGGCTTCTGAGACTTGCTCATACACTTGGTAAACCAACAGTGTGGATATGTTAACCACAGTATAATGCATCCACTTTTGTCCTTTGGAATAACAACTTTGTGTGAAAAACAAGAAAGGGAAAGAACTATATGGTTACAKAATAGCTATTCTATAAGTTGCAAAATACACCGGATAAAGAAAACCAACAAAATACCAGCCACCATCAACAATGATTCACTGGACACAGACGCTAAAACTACTAATGAACTTTGGCAAAGCACACAAACATGAAGGCAAACAGACCTTCAATGCTTTATCCTTCAGTGTAGCTAGTACATCTCTAGATGCTTCTTCAAGCGCAAATATATACCGCTCATACCTGCATTAAACCATGAAAAAACCTGTCAAGTGAATGTACAAGTGTCCTTGTCTTTTCTTTAATGTGTTTTTACTTTCAGCTGCAGTAGGGGTCATATAGAAGTGTAACTTAGTGAAACCATTTCGAAAAATAGTTTCCTCAATGCACCAGTCACATGAACATCTTGATGCAACAATCACAAAGTATACCAAGGTGGTTGTAACAACACACATCTTCGTGAGGAACCTAGTTCTCAGTTAAATATGTGTATATCTTTTATCTAGTTGTTCCTTATTCCGTATAGCTTAACTTCTCACATGTACACTTTCCACATGCTTTTGAAATCTGATGAGTACTATCTTCATATTCATCTGTTACTGCAGCTTAACTTCTCACATTTCCACCTTCCACATGGTACTTCAAGAAGACGACCGCAAAAAGCATTTAGTGGGTTTCAATTTTTCAAGTCAGAAACTCACTTCTATTTTATTTGCTTTTAGAAAAGTTTAGAATGAAATTTAAGTGCTAAAGTAATCACCATGGCATGGTGTCATTCCAAACAAATATATAGTGATTATAAACCCTTCACTAGTTATTCTACATTCTCCTTCACCCTCATAACAGCAAAATTATCACACATTTTTTCCTTCTGCCCTCATAAAAGTAAACCTATCACCATCCATGTAATCAAGTTGCGTGAACAACCAGTTCATAGTTTCTAGGAACCAACCAACTTTTACATGATGTCGTACTCATTGCATCCCCAGCGAATATACTTGAGGCTTGAGCCCTAAATATGTTTCAATGAGGTCTTACAGAAACATACATGCCAACCTTGATATTTGTAACTAGAGGTAGAGATGCATCATGCATGCTACTGGCTAGGCTACCCCTGAGAGTTTCTCAAGGAAGTTGCTTCCTTCAAATATTCCGATTGACATGAAAAATCTATGATTAAGATAGGTAGAGTTTAATTAACTGACCAAAACTGCTATAGTTTTTTAAAAACCCGAGGAAGAAAACCACTCTTGGGGCCTGAGCATCTAAATTGTTTACGATGGATTATTGATTTCATTCTAAAAGGTATAGCAAGCAACAACTACATAACAATAGTTGCAAACCAGAAAGAGGAATACAAGGTTCAGGCATGCACCTCTGTTTTAGGCATTCCTCCCAATGCCAGAACAGTAGAAGGGAATTCCCATCCTTTGAGTCAGGAAGGTAATTAAGAGGCTGTTGAATGTCCTCAGCTTACGATCAGGTAAGAGAAGACATAACAATTAATCATAACATAAGAGGCAAAAAAATAAGAATCTTTCTGATCTCTAAAATGTGACTATCAAATTGCCTTAGTTCATACTATTACAATCTCAACATCTGCAAGCACTGTCCTAGAACTGCACATGCTGGAAATCTAATAAGAAAACACCTTACAGAAATGTGAAGCTGATTGTAATTGGTGATCACAGAGTAGATACAACCACACAGTGACAGCCAGGTAATATAATTATGACCTACAAATACTTATTTAACTGATTAACCAAATAGTCAGTGCAAATCTTGATATAAACATTTCTTTCAGTGCTTCAAATCCCGTAAAGGCATAACGCTTGCCAACTTTTGATGTCACCATACCTGCAATTCACATTCACCAATAGCAAAGACACAAATGGATAAGGTTAGCATATCTATCGATTCCAAAGAAAGACAGCTGATCTATATTAACAACTAATACTGTAAGTCTATCCACAAATTGGTTTTGATTATAGCAACATCTATTCTCCACCGAACATGAATACATCTTTGTCCTATCACTGGAAAACTCCATCATGACAATATGCAACAGTTAGATTAGTACTTTATCTAGGCAAATAGTCAAAAAATAGTTATGTCTCAATCTCCCACACGTAGTTTTTCATTTCGTTTTCCACAACTGACTGTAAAATTTTGAAGTCAAATTTCATCTAATTCAAGTTTGAAGAGATCAAGTCTTTAAAGCGTGTACACAGTGCATTCCATTTTCGAACTAGCAAAAGCATGACTAGAATAATGCATAAACGGCGCATTGAAGATAATTTCATTGGAGAAATGTACCTAGAATTGCATCAATTGACCTGATATTTGCAATTGGATTGTCCCCAACCAAAACCGAGAACGCAGACACCTTATCAGTCACGGTCCCCGACCGCTGTGTGGCCAACACCATCTTAACATCCCCACTCTGCCCCCTGGACAACTCGTTATCATGTACGTACTGCGCCAACAACCTCTCTGCAAGA